ATTCACCTTTTTGTTTTGCGATTGTCAGTCTATATAAGAAACACAGAAAAAGTAAAAAAGCTATGATTGTGTCAGATTATAGAAACTCGTCGAAAAAGGTGAATATGTTCACCGATCGTTTTTTCTTGCACCGCAGTCTAAAAAACCGTGCGATAACCGCCGGTAGAAGAAAAAACCGTCGTTATACCGAACGGTACGGTTAACCAGCGGTAATCTATAGACCGGTCGGTAACCGGCAGTATTACGAAAAAAAGTGCAACATGGGATTCTTCCTTTAGCTGTTCTGGGTATTAAAAATGGGCCTTTCTCAAGACCTGTGCATCAGATATTAGTACTTTTCTGATATTACAGGCTCAATTAAACGTATAGACTGTGCAAAGACCTCAAAATAAAAATACAAGAAGTAAGAACGCATTAAAGATTGAGGTTTTTTATAGTGATTGTGGTATCTTTGGCAAAAAATCGCTTTGCTGTTAGTGACTCTCTGCAGCAATGATCAGTTCGGCTCTGTTTGATGTACAGAGGATTGGGACTCAGCTATTCCGCCTCATTCACAGAATATTAGACTGGCTCTAATAAACGAACTGATCTTAAAGTAAGTGGATACTAGTAGTATTCACTTCAAGTTCTTTAGTTGTACTATTTGTATTGGCCTAAATATGTAAAAAATAGAATTTTATAAGGTGCACGTTCTGTACGACATGAAAATAAAAGTTTATCAAAAAAGTTACATAGTAATTCTTTGGTATGTTTTTTTATCAAAAGTAATTCCTTTCCAAATGATACAAATTGAGTAGAAATTGAATTAGCTAATTTATCTAAACTATTTTGGGTTCCTGACTGGTGGTAGGAAGAATTAGAGCTGCTTGTATTGTGACTTTCGCTAGAGAATGATGATGAAAAATCGTTGTTCATCCCTCGTTGCTGCTGCTTTTGTCGTTGTTGATCTAACGCATGACTCAAGAAAACTATCTCAAACCTGGTGACCAGTCACTTCGTTTCAAGACAATTCCTCTTATGCAAGCTCTGTGATCTGTGCAGAACTGGCTAGGCTAATTTGTTTTAAATCTCAATTCGTAAGCTATTTTGTAACGCGTTACTTTTACACTCTATATAACGTCACGTCACTGACTTTGAGTATTTTGCAGATTATTATCATCATCATCCTCGTCATCACCATTAGCAGCATAAAACTGAAATGGAGATGTATGTGTTTGTAATTGTGTCATTGCTGCACGTTGACCACTTGCAAAATGTAATTCGTCAAAAAAACTAGAAAATAGTCCGGATCTACTGGATCAGACGGAGAAAACACTTCTTTGGAGCTTTGGCTCGTTTTGATTTAGTGATAGTAGACCGTGGCTATAGATTCGTGGCCATTTTTGTTAAATTAAAAGTATGACAGTAAATGACTAAGAACACTCCTGGTATAAGCCATGTCGTGGACATCCTTTTAACTGCAAGTATAAGAATATCAGAAAGTGAACTAAGGTACGAACAACTTTGAATCATTCACACAAATGGTTGCAATTTGGTTCTTATTTTTTAAACACGGATCTTACATTCTATCGCCCTGTTTTATTTTTACTTTTATTTTATTATATTAATAATACGCATTTAATCATGTTCAGCTTTCGCTACAGGAGTTACAATCAAATATTCATCATGGTTAAAAACAATACAATGCTTTTTAATAAACTTTACCGAAACAAATAGTTTTTGAGCAGAAGGTTGATCTCTCAGAAC